GTGCAGTGGCTGCTCCTGGCCACCGCAGCCTCGTCCTGCTGGGCTCCGGCGATCCTTCCACCTCAGCCTTCCGAGTATCTGGAACTACAGGCGCGCACTGATTTATTGTAGAGATGAGGTCTCGCCAAGTTGCCCAGGTGGGTCTCGAACCCGTGGGTTCAGGCAACCCACTCACCTCAGCCTCCCAAGGCGCGGGATTACAGGCTGAGCCATCGAGCCCAGCTCTTTTAATTTTTATTTAAAATTGTGGGGTACAATTCAGGGCTAGGTATACAAATATTCACTATGCAGGTACCCTAATTGATGAGGTGTGCCCTCCCACTTCCCCAGGCAGATATTGACTACTGTCTATCCCATCTCCCCACTCCCCCACCCCCCTCCACACAGTTTCTCGCCACTTTCAATCCTTTTCTTATAATAATACGGTAGTTGTTCAAGGTCCACTTATGAGTGAGAACATGTGATACTCAGCTCTTTGTTTCTGCAAGAGATCACTTAGTATTATAAACTGTAATTCCATTCAGGTTGCTGCGAAGTTCATGATTTTGTTCTTCTTTATGGCTGAGTAGTATTCCATTGTGTATATGTACCACATTTTTAAAATCCAGTCCTCTTTTGATGGGCAGCACAGTTGGTTCCATGTTCTTGCTATTGTGAGCAATGCTGTGATAAACATACAGCAGGTATCTTTTTTATAGAGTGACCTGAGTTCTTCCGGATATGTTTCCAGTAGGGGGTTAGGGGAGTCATGTGGAAGGTTGATTTTTAGAACTTTTAGGAATTGCCACACTGATTTCCACAGAGGCTGAACTAGTTTGCACTCCCACCAAGAGTGTAGAAGTGTTCCCTTTTTGCCGCATTCTCTCCAGCATCTGTTATTTTTTGAGCTATTGATGATGACCATTCTGACTGGAGTTAGGTGGTATATCAGTGTGGTTTTAATTTGCATCTCCTTGATGACTAGTGAGGGTGAACATTTTTTCATGTATCTGTTGGTTGCTCTTATGTCTTCCTTTGAGAAGTAT